CCCCCCTCTCCCCACACCTCTATTGTTTTGTTTGCCTCGGTTTTGTGTGCGCTACGCCTCTTCCACTCCCACACCTACCTGCTAAAAATACGTGACACCTCGTCGCTGGCCCGGCTCTTGTCCCTCCTCCTCCTCCCCCGCGGACTGGGCTGGGCGCGCGCGCGCGCGCGCGCGCGACAGGGAAGGGTCCGCCGGTCTGGTCGACTGCGTCAGAACGATTTGCAGCTTTGACGACGAGTGCGACGACGAAAGCCTGCGGCAAAGTGCGTGCCGAACCAGCGCACCGTGGCCAACCAGCAACCAGCGCCCTGTTGTTGTCGCCCGACCGACCCGACCGGGCGGCAGGCGGCAGGGGGTCAGTAGTGGGCGAGGTCAGTCAGTCGGCCCTGCGTGGGCGGCGTGGCGCGCCGGCTTTAGGTGTGTAGTTCGCAGAGCGGCAAACAAACGAGCTGCAGCCGCACGGACTGCGCGACTCCTGTGTGCGTGATGTGGCGGCAGAGAGGAAGGCAACACTGATGTCGAGTTCGTGGAAGTTGAAGCGGATGGTGGCACACTGTACCAAAATAAAAACGTACAAAAAGGACATTTCTCAAACAATCAACTACTGACATATTCGTAAATTCAGAAAAGTCCCGTGAATTTCCGAAAAAATGCTAAATTCATTTCCAACAATGTTTTGGAAAATTGTATTCCCAACTTATTTGAATAGATTTTTATCATTATTTTTCTTCGTTGAAATTGAAAATGCCGACTTTTATTTACAGTGCATTGTTGGGGGGTTGGGACATATCCGGCCGACATCGCGGGCCTTTGTGTTGTGTACGTGTCACTCGACGAGTCCTCTTCATTACCTTCCCTTGTTTGTATGGTTCCCTCTCTGACTTCATTGGTGGCGTGTGAGGTCCAGTTGCGTGCTTCATAGGGAGGGGTCGTACAGAAAGAACGTCCATTTTTCTCAAGTTCCATTCGGCAACAGACGCGGGAGCTCGGCGCCTGCGAGACTCTGGCTAGGCCACCCCGCAGTACTCGCATACATTGCGGGCAAGATGTTGCCTACCCATCAGGCGCTATGAGAGCCGCGGCGTAGGCTCAACTGGACAGGTTCATAAAGGAGAATGACGGACGTACTCTCTGGGTGATCCCACATCTCTCCCTTACATTCGCCCCTGCCGCCCCCTGGTGCCCACGCCCCCGGCCCGGCTCTTGGCTCGCAAGTCTGCTGCACCGGTTTGACGGTACACCGCACCGCGCTGCGCTATGGCGCCTCCAGAGAAAGTCTCGCCAAAGATCCGAAGCGAAGGAGGCGTGAGATGGGGCGCCGCCGGCGCCGCGCCGCGGCACCGGCATCTGCTGCGGTGGTCCCGGCCACGCCCTGCCCCGCCAAGTGATGGCGAGAGTACGATACATAGTAGCTTATGGAGGTGCGATGAAGGGTATTTATTGCTCAACGTCGATCCTGTATTTTAGTGAACAACTTTCGAAAATTCTGTCGCTGATCCTCTTATCAACACCATGGTGTGTGTTTGAGGGGTGTGGGGGGGCATAGCTTATTGGGGCCGTGCGTTTGGGTCAGCTGGGGTGGGGCCTCAACGGGTTAACTTGATTACTTTTAAAAATTAATCGCAATGTCTTGTTTCTTGGCAAAAACCGAAATTAACTTTTGAACTCTTTCGTCTTGTGCTTGCAGACGTTCGCGTCCAGCTGGGCGAGCAGCTGCGCTGCCTGGACGGGCGCCTGGAGACGCAGGTGGCGCTGGTGCAGGAGCTGCAGGACTACTTCCGGCGGCGCGCCGAGGTGGAGCTCGAGTACTCGCGCGGCCTGGACAAGCTGGCGCGCTCGCTGACGGCGCGCCACAAGGAGCAGAAGCTCAAGCGCGAGCAGTGGCCGCTCTTCTCGTCGTACGCGTGCTGGCAGCAGCTCGTGACGAGCACGCGCACGCTGAGCCGCGACCACGCCAGCCTGGCGGACGTGTACACGACGCAGCTGGTGCCGCGGCTGGGGCGCGTCGCCGAGGACGTGCAGCGCATCTACCGGCGCTGCCGCGACGTGGGCCAGGAGCTGCACGAGGAGATCCTGCGGGTGCTGCACGAGCTGCACACCACCATGAAGACGTACCACGGCTACCAAGGGGAGATGCGGGCCGCCGAGGGCAAGCTGCGCCTGGCCGAGGCTCAGCGCCTCAAGCTGGAGCAGAGCACGCCGCCGGAGAAGCTGCCCCGCTCCAAGAAGTATCGTCTCATCGAGAAGGAGGTGCAGAAGGTGAGTTCTCGACGATTCTGGTTGGGGGGTGGGGAGCTGTCCGGGTGAAGTGGGGTAGCCGGAAGGATTCGGGTTTGTGTTTTGTCGTTTGTTTTTTACCCTTGTTGTTTCAATCCGTTATGTTTGCAGCGGAAAAATAAATTTAATGATGCCAGTCTGAAAGCCTTGAAGGCAAGAAATGAATATGTGTTGTGCCTAGAAGCAGCAAACACAACGATTCACAAGTATTTTGTAGATGACCTTTCTGACTTAATAGATGTGAGTAGTAGTTTGAATACAGAATTAATGTTAACTTATTTCTAGAAGGGTTTCTGATGCAGATGTTTTATTACCAGTGTATGGACTTTGGATTTCATCAGTGTGTAACAAGAGCACTCCTCCTCCATGTGTCCCTAGAGGAGGGACGAATCAGATCATCACAATTACAATCTGATCAACTTAACTCTTGTATTAATTCTCTAGACTCACGGCTTGACAAGCAAAGATTTCTTGAAAGCAATCACACAGCTTTTGTCATACCCAAAAAGTTTGAGTTTCAAGGACTGCGTAGTGATGAGGTATGTGGTAGCTATTGACCTGGATGATTCTTTACTTTTCCAGTAAACTGTTAAACTTTATCCTCAATTTTTTTTTTTTAGGTGGTTACCGTAGACAACGAACTCCTTCCAGCACTGAAGGATGAGTTGAAAGCAAGACTGTATCAACTTACAAACCGTATATTGAGCCTTCGGGCAGAGTCAGAAGAAGTGTGGAAAACTCTAGAAACAGCTGAAACTACCCTCTTAGAAATGATCACAGCCAAAGATTATGATTGTTCAGCTCTGTTTACTGGCAGTGCTGACATCACCCCAACCCCTCCAACCCGGCCTCCTGAAACAGTCACATTAAAGCTTCGCGCTGATCGCCATGAAACTGAGGAATTTTACTTATCTGTAAGTTTGTAGTTCAAAAAGTCGGATGACTTAAAATTGAATTGCAGGTGTATCTAAATCTTGTTTTTATTTTCATCTATTCAGAAATTTAGAGAGTACCTCTTAGGTACAAGTCGTATTGCAAGATTAGATTCTAAACATGAACATATTCGTCAAACCTTGATTAGTAGCGGAGAAACTAATGAAAACATGCCATCATCTCTCAATCTCAACATGAGCCTGACTACAAACCACTGTAATGTATGTATTGTTTTCTAATCAGTCTATTTCTATCATCATCTGTTTGTGTGTTCCGCTATTGTTAAATATTTCTGCTTTTCAGGGTCAGCCCACCAGTACCAAGCCTATTCGAAGGAAACGAATAGGGCGACTGCAAATGAATGGGCAACCTAAATTATTTGGAGGTTCCCTTGAAGAGTATTTAGAAATGTCCAATCAGGATATACCCCTTATTGTCAAAAGCTGCATTAGAGTCATTAACTTATATGGTATGTTAAATTTTAATACTCTTAAAGT